CAAATACAAAAGTCAGCCAAAAGAGAGAAAACCTAAGAAATAGAAAAACGAAAAATGAAAAGGAAAAATAAAAGGACAAAAAAAAGACAATCCAAGGAACAGAAGAGAGAGTGATTCTTTGTGAATTAATCTTTCGGGGCTACACATCAGCTGTTGTGGGGGGGGGGGGGGGGGGGGGCGGGGGGGGGGGGGGGGGGGGGGGGGGGGGGGGGGGGAAGGGGAGTGGGAGGAGGTCTCCTGTCCCTGTTCTGTCCCTGTCCTCTGTGCTGTCTCCTCTCTCTCTCTACTCTCCTCTCTCTCCTCTCCTCTCTTCTCTCTCTCCTCCTCTCTCTCTGTGTGTGTGTGTGTGTGTAATGTTGTGGTTGTTGTGGTGTGCGTGTTTGGGTGTCCTGTCTCTCTCTCTCTCTCTCTCCATTTCTCTTCCTTTCCTTCTCACCTTGTCCTCTCATCCCTCTCTCTCCCTTCTCTCTCTTCTCTCTCTCTCCCTCCCTCGTACCCTCCCCCCACCCCCCTTCTCCCAACCCCCCTCCCACCCCCTCTCCCAACCCCTTCTCCAACCCCCTCACACCACCCAAACCAAACCAACCCAAACCAAACCTCAAACAAAAACAAAAACAAACAAAAACCCCAAAACCCCTCACCCAGTTCCGAACATTAGCGACGATCTCGGGGTTGGTGACGGCGGGGGCGGAGTCATCCCAGGTCAGGGCGTCGTCCTGGGATGCCTTGAGTGCGAGGGCGGGGACCTGATTGGCTGCCGCGTAGTCGATGCTGGAAGGGTATTGGTCCTCGCTCCTCTTGCCGTGGCCGCCGTAGCAGGAGTGGCCGAACTTCGAACATTGTCCTGAGGGAGGGAAAGGGGAGTTAGTGAGGGGTGGGTGAGAGGGTGGGGGGGAGGGAAGGATGGGTGGGGGTGGGTGGAGGGGTGGGGGAGGGGTGAGAGGGTGGGGGAGGGAGGGATGGGTGTGAGGGGAAGAGGGGAAAGGGAGTTAGTGAGAGGGTGGGTGAGAGGGTGGGGTGGGTGAGAGGGTGGGGGAGGAGGAAGAGGGAAATGGGAGTTAGTGAGGGGTGGGTGAGAGGGTGTGAGGGAGGGGGGGAGGAAAACGGGAGTTAGTGAGGGGTGGGTGAGATGGGTGGGGGGAGGGAGGGAGGAGGGTGTGAGGGGAATAGGGGGAAAACGGGAGTTAGTGAGGGGTGGGTAAGAGGGTGGGGGAGGGAGGGATGGGTGTGAGGGGGAAGGTTGGTATAGGGGGAAGAAGGGGGAAGTGAGGAGTGGGAGGGAGGGATGGGTAGGAGTGTGGGGGTGGGGGAGGGAGGGAGGATGGATGTGAGGGGAAAGGGAGTTTTGTGAGGGGTGGGGGAGGAGGAGGGTGTGAAGGAAAACGGAGGAATGGGGAAAATAGGGGAGAAAGGAGAAAAAAGTATTGGGGGAATAGAAAGATGTATATGGGGGGGGGGGGGGTTGTCTAAGGCATGTGAGATAAATGTCAGATAAACACGAATAATGATAATGATAATAATAATAATAATAATAATAATAATAATAATAATAATAATAACAACAACAACAACAGTAACAACAATAATAATAATAATAATAATAATGATAAATACACATCTACTCATACTAAAATAGCAAAGACCCAACAAGCCATTAGGAAAGGCAAGCACTATTACACATCATTATCTCTTTAACAACTCTTATATCTATCCCCGTCCGTTTTTTTCCCTCTTGTCTTTTTTTTTAATAAATTATTGAACTTCTCCCTCATTTCTTCCCATTTCTCCCTTTCGTGAGCATTAATGATAGGTTAAACAAGATGAAATGAAGGAATGGAAACTGTCAAAAACTTTATTATCGTTATTTTTATTTATTTAAGTTTTTATTTATTTATTTATTTTATTTATAGGTTAAACAAGATGAAATGAATGGATGGAAACTGTCAAAATTATCGTTATTTCTCTCCTTATTTCACATACGGAAGTTTTTATTTATTCATTTATCTTATTTATAGGTTAAACAAGATGAAATGAAGGAATGGAAACTGTCAAAATTGTCGTTATTTCTCTCCTGATTTCACATACGGAAGTTTTTAATTATTTATTTATCTTATCTTATTTATTCATTTATCTTATTTATAGGTTAAACAAGATGAAATGAAGGAATGGAAACTGTCAAAAACGTTATTATCGTTATTTCTCTCTTGATTTCACATACGCATTTTTATTCATTTATTTACTTATCTATCCATTTATTTATTTTTGTGGAAAATCATATAATCAGTGTGAGTGTAGTGTGTGTTTATCTAGTCTATTTATTGACTTAGAAGACAACAGTACGATTTATCTTTGAATTAAGGACCCGAGACTGATAATGAAGATAACATATAATTATTTTGTGAAGAGGGAAGAGGTAGATAAAGATTAATAGATAGATAGATAGGTGGATAGATAGATAGATAGATGGATAAATAGAGAGATAGATGGATAAACATATGTATCGATAGATAGATAGATGAATAGATAGAGAGAAATACAACATAACGATAACTATAGCAAAGAAAACCGTTAACATGAAAAATATAGAGTTAAATAGATATATAAACAGATAAACAAATAGACAGATTGACAGAGAGGAGTAAGAGAGAGGCCGAGGAAGGTGGAGAGAAAATGAACAACAATAACAACAACAACAACGACAAGAGGGAAAATGAACAACAATACAACAACAATAACAACAACAACAACAACAATACCAACCACCACCACCACCCAACACAACAACAACAAACAACAACAATACCAACCACCACCACCAACAACAACAACAACCACCACCACCACAACAACAACAACAATACACCACAACACCATACAACCACAACAACAACAATACCACCACCACAACAACAACAACAATATCACACCCCACCACAACACAACAACAACAACAACCAACCACCACCACCACCAACAACAACAACAACCCCATTTTTCCCCGACTCGGATTTCGAACACGCCCCATGGCATAGCTCTCCCGTTCAGCCCTATCACAGGAGAGCAAAGCCAGGGAGATTAACCTGTTCTACAATATTGTTTCCGGATGGAGTTCTACGGTTGTTGTATAACTCCAGGCCTACCTCCCCACCCCCCTCACCCTCCCACCCCACCCTCACCCTCCCCCCCCCCTCGCCTCGCCTTCCTATTCCTTTACCTTCCTTTTCCTATTTTTTTTTACCTCTATATAACTCCCAGGCCTACCCTCCCACCCCCCTCGCCCTCCTCTTCCTATTCCTTTACCTTCCTTTTCCTAATTTTTTTTCCTCCTTTATTCTTTGTTTTCCCTATTCTCTTAATTATTACGTTCGTTTAGCCAATTCTCTTTATCCTTTCTTTCCCCAACTCTCTTCCCTCCATCCTTCCCCAACTTTCTCAGCTCTTACCTTCCTTTCCCCAACTCTCTCCCTTTGTTTCCCTCTCACACAACCTCCCTTTCTTGCCCATATTTCCCTACCCAAGTATGCTAATCTCTTTCCTTCCTTCTCTCAAATTCCTTTCGCTTTCTTCCTCTTATTTCCCTTATTTGCTTCCTTCAATTTTCTTCCCTTTCTTTTTCCTAACGTTCTTTCCTTCCTTTCTTCAAACCTCCCTTCTTCAAACCTTCTTTCTTCCTTCTTCCTTCCTCCATTCTCTTAACCTCTTCCTTCTTCGTATCCCCCTTTCCTTTCATTTCCTTATTCCACTCTCTCTCCCTTCTCTCTACCCCTTTCTCCCCCATTCCCCTTTCCCTTTCTCCCCCAACCTACTTCCCTTCCTTCCACTCTCCCTACCTTACCCCTATCCACTCCCTTCCTTCTCCCTACCCTTTCTCTGCCCTCTCCCTCTCTTCTTACCCCAACCCCTCTCCCTCCCTCCTTATACCCTTATAACACCTCTCCTACCTTCCTCCAAACACCTCCTCCCAATCCCCACTCTCCCTTCCCCCCTCCTCCATATCCCCTCCCTCCTACCCCTACCTTCCTCCAACACCTCTCCTTTTCCTCTCCCCATCCCTCTCCCTCCCCTCCCCATACCCCCTACCTTCCTTAACACCTTCCTCCAACACCTCTCCTTTCCTCTCCCCATCCCCTCTCCTTCCTCCCCATACCCCTACCTTCCTCCAACACCTCTCCTATATACCCCCTCCTCCAACACCTCTCCCTTCCTCTCCCCTCCCCCCTCCTTATACCCCCCCCCTATCACAATATACCGGTACTTTTGCTACCCACTCCGCCCATCGAATGACCACAAGCCCATCGACCCATCTGGTATCTAATGGATTATCGACCCAACGGGATTCCAGAGTATTGCACTTTCTTGCCCCCCCCACCCCCCCCACCCCCCCACCCCCCCATCTTCCGCTTCTATTACAACCTCGGTTCTCGTCTCTTGTTAACCCGGGCTTCAGAAATCAGTCAATTAACGAAGGAAAAGGTGTAAGTCATTGTTAAGGTCAGTCACTGTTCACTGCTGTCTTTTTTTTCTCCCTTTTATTTCTTTGTCTGTTTTATTTGTTTGTTATCCTTTCGTTGTTGTTGTTGTTGGTGTTGTTAGTATGGGTGTTTATTAGCGTCGTTCTTAGTATTATTGTTATTGTTATATCATTATCATTTTTATTATTGCTATTCCTCTTCTCCTCTCTTCCTCCTCTCCTCCTCTCATCATCATCATCGCCATCACCATCATTATCATCATCATCATCATCATCATCATCATTGCCATCACCATTATCATCATCATCATCATCATTACCATCACAACCATCACCATTATCGTCATCATCATTACCACCATCATCATCATCATCATCATCACATATTTTATAATAATTATCCGTATTACACGTAGCAGACACATCACTTCCAAAAGAAAATCCACGAAATCAGTCTCAGCATTGAGTATTTGTCGACGAAAATACATTATATACAATAAACAAATTTATTACGATGATGATCTATTTATATTTAAAAAATTATGATGATCTCTCTCTCTCTCTCTCTCTCTCTCTCTCTCTATCTCTCTCTCTCTCTCTCTCTCTCTCTCTCTCTCTCTCTATATATATATATATATATATATATTTTTACCCATGCACAGATTCCTCTGACGGTGATAGATAGTGATAGATCGATGATGTTTCAGGAATTCAAAAATCTAAGTTTATATCTGGAGGCAAGATGGCTAATGATTTCCTCTTAGTGGTCTTGAGGTAAGTTAATGAGTGTAATTAAGGCAACTCGGCGTATTGACTGAAGATATTTGAAAAATGTTTTTTTTTTTTTTTTTTTTTTTTTTTTTTTTTTTTTAGGGGGGGTTGGGAGGGGGAGGGGGGTTAAGGAAGAGTGGGGGGGGGGGTATGAGGGAGGTAGGAGGGGTGATAGGGGTGGGGGATTTTTTGAGGGAGAGATGAGGGAGAAAGGAGGGGATGATGGATCTTTTTTGAGGGAGAAAGGAGGAATTTTTTTTTTTGGAAATGAGGGAGGATGAGGGATGATGGGGATAGGGGAGTTTTTGATGGAGGAAGGAAGGGAGATGAGTTTTTTTTGAGGGAGAAAGGAGAGAGAACGGAGAGAGATGGGGATTTTTTTTTAAGGAAAATGAGGAAGAAGGAAGTTTAGGAAGTTTAGGAATTTTGAGTGAAAAGAGGGAGAAATGAGCTTGTTTGTGAGTGTAGTCGCGTGTTTATGCCTGCGTGAGTGTTTGCTTGTGTGTGTTTGTTTGTGTGTGAGCGTGCGAATGTTTGTGTTTGTGGTATGTATGTGTCTATGTCTGTGTGAAATTATCATATATGCGCGAATCTTCATCAAA